CCCTTTGTAGTCTCTTCTGTTAATGCTATGCATTTTTGTAATGTCATTGGAAGGTTGGATTTACAACCAATAACAGACACTCTTACTCCAAACCTATTGATTTGTAAGGGCAATGAGAAATTAAAACAATCATTCGCTATAATAAATAAAGAATTTTGCGACAATTATACAATATGTATGATACATAAATTATACATCATACATATACACATCGTACGCTATTTATATAATATCGATACATTGCATATATAATATATAGGAAATGCATCATTTGGGCCTGGAACTCCCATCTTTACTATGATATGAACACTTTTACACTAGACCATTGATGTTTTGGATCAATATATTGATGAGAGTCGATAAGAACATTTTTTAGATCTAACTGAAGACATTTTTATTCAATTTCACATTATTTAAGGAGATTTTTGAAACTTTTTTCATTTTATTCATATGGTATTAGACCAAACTATTAACTAAAGAAAATGTTTTAAGTATCCTTATTGCTATTTAGACATTTTTTATGTGTCATTTGCCAAATAATAAAATACAGACAAACAAATAACATTATCCCTTTATGACATTTGTATATTTTAATCGAAAAATGCAGTACCTCAAAAATTCGTTAAAGAATTCTTCAAATAATTGCATCAAGAAATCAACCTCCTCCTGCTCCAAAACAAATGGTTATATATGCTTCAACCAAAAGAAAAAAAAATACAAATTCTATAAATTAGATTTTATTCTTTTCAATTTATTTACCTTACTTTCTGTTTTAGTTTATTTTAGAAGGAATGTTTTTTTCTTTTTTCTTTTGGTGAATCGTTAATTCCTGCTTTAATTTCCATCTTTCATATTTAAGAGTTAAGACTATAAAATTAAAAGATGTTTTGATTCATTTGATATATTTTTAGAAGGTCAAACATAGTTATTTAAAAATTAAAAAAATGTTTGATCAAATTTTAGAAATAATAAGTGTTTTAGTAGCATAAACTGTTTTTGAGTAGCTGAAAAAAGTACTAGTTCTTTTCCAAAAATATTACACACAAAAACACTTTTTATATGTTTGGTGAAATAATGTGAAAGTTTAAATGACCATACAATATTGAGATCCTATTTTCGAAAAACTTTAGTGATTTTAATACCTTGATTTATTGTGAAGAACAAAATGACGATGGAGAGCTATGAAGTTGGCTAGAAAAATAATCGGAAGGGACTAAATGTGCACCAATATATTAACTCGATAAAATAATGACTATTTATATTCTATATAAAATAATAAGGATGATTTTAATCTAAATTCAAAGTTAAAAGACCATTTTGGACTTTTCTCCAAATTCAAATGTAAAATGTTTAAATATTTTGAAATAAAAATATTTACATAAAAGTACAATAAGTAAGTGAAATGCTCTCTCAATATATGCTTGAAAGAGACACACTTATATTATACTAAGGTTCTATTAGTTCCTATACTTATTTCATAAATAATTTTTTACCCTTTTTCGGCCAACGTGACACTATCTTGGAAAAAAATGTCAACACGCATTGGGCCCTCAAGATAGTGCCACGTAGACTGAAAAGGACTAGAAAATTATTTATAAAATAAGATCAGATGGTAATAGGACCTTAGTATAATATAATTATATTTCTGATATTTCGGAAATAGGTTAAGGATACTTTTGCATTTAAATATGAAGGAAATAACACATACCTTGGATCGTTTCCAATTTTCAGTAGAAAAAGCAAAAGCAGTGATAACTTGTATTCCCAATTTAGAAGAAATATCACAAATCTCTTTTAATTTTGGAATAATAAGTTTGTGACCTTCATATACTTCTAAACCCTTAGCCTTTGCCCATCTCCTATTACCATCCATTATCAAAGCAATGTGTTTAGGTATAAGCTCTTCATGAAGCTCGAGATCATCATTATCATCATTATCATAACGAAGCTTTTCAGTTTGTAAGCTTAATGAGCATGAAATCTTGCTGAGTCCACGATCAGACATTGTTAGAGGCAGCTTTAGAATTTGAAGTTTATCATGAATTCCTATAGTAATAATAATAAATTGATCTATAATATTAACTGGGTTCAAATTTAAATATAATTTTTTATGTATATACATATACGTATATAAGGTATGAACAAAAATTATTGAATTAATTCCCGTAAATGATTAACCTTTGAATTCACCCATAGATATTGATGATGGTGATGATGATTTCCAGCATTGAAGATCCAAAGAGCTCTTTAATGAGATGAAGAAGTGTTGAGACACTATTGAAGAGTTCATGATTTATGGTGAAGTGAACAAGGGAAGTAGTGTTTAAATAGAATTTATGGTACGATTTTTTGATTAAAGGTTTCACGTTCGAATCTGGATTACTATAAAAGAAATTTTTCAATATTATAGAGAATTAACTAAGCAAAACAAATAATTTAACTTTCTTTTTCTAATAGTGAAATGAGGTACCAAATAAGAGCATACTACATCTTTTAAAATAGAGTAATTAATACCTGAAGTCTTCCAGCAGAGTGAATTTAGAATGTTTAAACATTAATGAATCATAATTTAAAAAAAATATTAAGTGGAAATTAGTACTCAATCAATATTCAATTAAATACACCATTTAATATTTTCGCATGAAATTCAACTAATATTATATATATATATATATATATATATATATATATATATATATAATAATATATA